CTGACCTGGATCCGTCCGGGGCCCCGGAGTTGAACAGTCAACTGTGGGGAGCCACGGCAGACCCTCCACCTGCCCACTGTGCAGGGAGTCTGCTGAGAGCAGCTCCCTGCCCCTCTGGCCCCCCTCCAAGACCCCCTCTCTCACGCCTGGAGCTGAGGTGGGGAGAACCACGCAGGCAGCTTTGGTGAGCCACCTCCCTCTACCCTGGTACCGGTGGGGACATGGGCAAGGGGCTGCTCTCAAACTCCCTCTCCACACCACAGGCAAGTGGAGGGTCCCACAACTGCCCAGACTCCCCAGCCAAGCTCCACACTGGCCTAGCCAGGGGTCTGAGGCCTCAAGGGGAAAAGATGGGGAAGGGGGTGGGCTCCCCCTACCAAAAAGTGGATGGGCCAGGCCTGTCCACTTTCAAAAAGTGGGAGAGCTATGGCCCCTCTGTCTCCCCCAGTTCCAGCACCACTGAGCAGCACTTAGGGGCCTCAACCAGGGCCCCACTGTGCTAGACACTGTACAAACACATGACAAAAAGCCACCTGCCCCAAAGAGCTTAGAGTCGAACATAATACAGGAAACAACAGGTGGATACAACAGAGAGAAGAGGACACTCAAGGTAACAATGAGAAGATTATGAACAACATGAGCACAGTGGTCAAAGCACACCAGCTGCCTGTATGTAAGTTCTGAGTGAAGTGGGTAGAGTTTGGTTCTAATGAAACTCTTGGAATAGTTACTTTAGATCCCATTTATAGTGAATTTGATTATGAAAATCTTACTATAATTAGAATTAAGTCCCTAAAAAGTCTAAGGTTGTTTCAATGGATGGCAACCTAGTTATAGTAAATTTCAACTTAGAATAAAGTTCTTCTGTGGGGAAAATGAGTTCTTTTATAAGAACATTCCAGTGCATATAAGCTCACTGACTTTCCCCATTACTGCACTGTATCAAAAGATTCTTCATGGTTTGAAATTCACAAGCAAGCCACCATGCAGCAGCTCTGTGCACATCCAACCCGGTTAAAAACTTTCCTAGTACCATCTTACACTCAACTATAATAAATAAAAACCTCTTTGAATTAATTTTCCAACTGTAGTGTATAGTTTTACAAGATTGAAATGCAAGAACTAATAAAATATATGCTTTAATTAACTAAACTTATGCTGTAGTGTACACCTGAAGTAGATGATTTACAGAGTGTTATCCTCTTCAGGACAGAATAATGCAAACAACATAATTAAAAGTTGATGAGAAGTATATTTATTGAGTGCACAGGAAGAATAGACACTTAGATTTATGATACACAAAGTGTATCTTTAGTTTACAATATTAACATTTTAAAGTCCAAAGCATGAGCCTAATGCATCCAAACTGCTCTTTGGAGCATTCAGATAATTCCAGTGGGGTTAAAATCCTAGCACTGTCACCAGTAAATTGTATCCCCTGAACATGTAACATGATCTATAATGATCTAGTGACTATGTTCATTGAGATGCCTGTGTCTGCCATAGATCATGATTGCATGTCTATAAAGACACATGAAATAGCTGAAGGGCCAATTATTTATCTGTGACGTGGATTTCAAGGGCATTAGTCATAGATCCATTGATGCAAAACAAGGATCTGCCGTTTCATTGTAATTAATCTGATTCAAGATTAATTACACTGGTGTCACTGAAATATCAGGGCCTACTTAGATTTGTGTGTATATAGCTAACTTGTTCTTTTGAAGCCCACAAGATACCTACCCCTCAAGCAAGAAGAGTAAGCTACTATAAGTGGCATTTTTCAAAAGTGGAATCCATACACTCCCAACAAACACAAGCCATTCTTATTTTATCAGAGTAAGGGATACTCCTCCACACCATTCCTCTCTGCCTCAGATCCATCACTGCCACCTGTCCATCTTTCTGGCTACATAGGCCTGTTGCTGCACCTAGGTCTGCTAAAGGGAGTCACGACACGAGACAGGAACATATGTTTTTTCTTCTCTGTTAGGGGTGAGAATGCTACCTTTGCATAAGCCCAGAGAGGTAGAGACCAAGCCTGGACTGCCCAGCTATTCTAAGGTCAGGTCAACATTAATAGAACAAAAAACAAAACACTGGTGTAACATTAAGGTTTTGAACTTAAAATGCACCACATTCAGAGAATGTGAAACTTAAGTTGGAAAACACAACCTTAACTCTGTCAACACTCAAAAATGGTGGAAAAGGTTTTCTTCAAACTAGCCAATACAAATCACCCATAAACTGAGATGAAGCTTAACAGCCCGCAAACCCCTTTCACTAAATTGTGAAGTCTCGTGAACCCCCTCCTAAAAATGAATATTTCCAGGGATTTAAGTTTAAATTTCCTCAGTGTGATGTATGCGCTTGCTTTCTGCTGCATAGCTCTTGGAAGGTCGTAACCACTGGAGAAAGATAAAGTCTCAGGTCTGGTTCAGCATCCGACCCCGCTCTCCCTGAGTCTTGGGCTGCCAGCCCAGTGCAGAGCGCTGGGGTTCAGGCTGATGGGGGCAGGGCTCGGGCTGCCAGCCCCAACTGCCCAGCCCCGCTCTCCCTGGAGTTCAGGCTGCCGGCTCCCCTGCTGACAGGGGCAGGGCTTGGGTTGCCAGCCCCAACTGCCCAGCCCCACTCTTCCTGGGGCTCGGGCTGCCAGCCCCACGAGGAGTGCTGGGGTTCGGGCTGCTGGCTCCCCCACTGACAGGCAGGGATCGGGCTGCCAGCCCAAACTGCCCGGCCCCGCTCTCCCTGGGGCTTCGGCTGCCAGCCCTGCAACCGGGTCCCACCTGCTGCCTCCAATGCCCGGGGTCCTTTGGACACCATTAGTGAAATTTTTCTAGCGAACTCCCTCTAATGTTCTGTGAACCCCACTTTGGAAACCACTGTGTTAGAGGATCACAGAGGAAGAATGGTCAAGTGGCTAGGATGCTAGTCTGGCAATTGGAAAACCAGGGTTCAATTCAATGCTGCTATAGTCTTCTTGTATGGTCTTGGGCTTGTCACTTAGTCATTCCTTGCCTCTGCTTCCTTTCTCTAAATTTGGGAAAACAGTATTTCCCTACCTTGCATGGGTATTATGTGGATAAATATATTAAAGACTGTGAAATACTCAGATACCATTGAAAGGGAGGCCATATACCCTTATGTCAAACTCATTGAAAAAAGACTTCTCTTATGAATTACTTTGCTCGAGTGTGTGTTCTTCCCAGCGGATACATTTTTTGGAAGGTGTGAGGCTAATTGGACAATCCATTTTGAGTTATTAGTCTTTAAAAAGGGGGTAGTTTATTACATTTTAAAAATTGTTCTTTTTTCTCTATTCATAACTCAAAAATAACTGTAAAAATTTCAGACTTGTTTTATACACTAATCTTCAATAAGAACTAGTGCATAGGGCTGTTCTTATCAAAGAGGAGTGCAAATGTTTTTGGTTATTAGAAGAGATTTCTGCATGCGATACAACTTTCATTAGAGGGCTTGCAACTATTGTGCCTTATTCCACCTAATCCAACCTTCCTCTTTTTTTTTTTTTAAATTATATCTCTATAGTAACTTTCCAGATTTTGCATTGCAGACAGAGCATTGAAAATGTAAATTAAATACCAAAAACCTGGGGTGAGATTTTGAAAGGCACTTAGAATTAGGTGCCTACTTGCCATTTGTGCCTTTGAAAATCTCCCCTCCCCCCCCGACACACACACACACTTGCCCCTCTCCCTTATTTTCCTCCCACCTAAGTGAAATGGAGTCTTGCTATTGTAACTATTTGGTAGCGTGGTGTGTGTACCACAAGTGGTAGGCAAGCACTGTAAGCACTCGACTGTACAGGCGCTAGTCCTTAGTTAGGTGTCAAAATGGGAGGGGGCGCACTCCCAAGCTGTGCCCACTACGTATGCGCCATGTAAGAGATCCTGACTCACCCCTGCGGCGCCTCCTGCTGGTCGTCCAGGGAATTAGCTTACCCACCTCTGGAGCGCCCTCTGCAGGCCGGTGATCTGACTCATTCTCTCCTTCTCGGCTCCCGTATCCCTCCCAGGACCCCGGTGCCCTTTGCTCTGGGTGCTGCCCCCTAGCAGTACCCACACTCTAGGTCTCCCCTCCCTGGGGAACCCCCACCCACTATCCCCATCTTGCCTCAGCACTAGGCCACCGCCACTCACCAACTAGCCCCCGCTCCCTGGGGCAGACTGCAGTATAGGCCACTCATCACTGGCAAGAGGGGTATGGACCTGCTGCCTTAGCCTAGCCCTGGGCTGCCCTCTGCAACCCCCAGTACCCCTTGGCCTTCCACTAGGCTACAGCCAGGGGCTATCCAGGCTGGAGCTCCCCAGCTCCTTAGCCTGTTCCCAGCCCTGCTCCACTCAGGTACCCTATCTCTAGCTCCCTGCAGTCAAGCCCTTCTCTCTCTGAAAGCAGAGAGAGACTGCTGAGTGCCTGGCTCCCAGCCTTCTTTATACAGGCCAGCTGTGGCCTGATTGGGGCGTGGCCCAGCTATGGCTACTTCCCCAATCAGCCCAGTAGCTTTTCCCTTTGCCCCAGCCCGCTGCCAGGGCTGTTTTAAACCCCTCAGACAGGAGCAGGGTAACCACCCCGCTACACTCCACCTATGTGAATCACAAAAATGAGTCGCTGTTCACAACAAATTAGACAGATATTCAAAATATGATTGTGGTAGCTCTCTGACCTCTGCTTGGCTCCTTTTTGACTGGGGAAAAATAAAAGTAGTGGTATCTCCCATAGATCATCCACTTGTGGAAAGGTGCTGAAGTCTCCCTCAGTGAATTGTGCAGATCTATGATCCTCCTCCTTTCTTGCAGGAGGAATGAAATAGCTAGCAATGTTGACATTTAAATTATCCTTGGGCATCTGAGTTAACCCCTCACAGAGATGAATGGGCAGTTCATACCTCCTGTAGACATCTCTACACCAGTTTCACCTTGAGTCACAATTTTACACTTGGTTCACTAATGTAACAGTTTGAGATTTTCATTTTGCTGCAGAACAAGATAGCAGCTGGAGATAAGTGCTAGTATGCTGTACTGCTGAATACTCACTGAATCTGAGCCTTGTCATGTGCAATGCTCATGTGCGTCTAGTAAGTAAAATAAAATTCTTTTCTAGAGCTGTCTGAAATAATCCCACATAAATTGAGGGGGAGGGTGGCTTCCCCATTAAACTATAAACAAAATTTAGGATTTAAGCAAATATGATTATTTGGGGTCAGACTCTTATTTTGTTTTAAAACTTGGGGTTGGCAATACTGTAATATGTCAGCCTATGGTTGGATGGCCTGGCATGATTTGCTTTTCTAAGTATACAATGCATTCCCTGGCTGAGCAACCCGATAGCCTTATGGTAATCTCCTATTATACAGTACTCTTTAGCCTTTATATGCCAGAGAAAGTATTCTGCCTCTTTTTTAACGGTTGGCCACAAATCAATATTTGCGCTAACACCAAGGAGATTCGGATAAACTCTAAATTAGCAGCAAGGCACCATAGATAGTGAGGTGGGACTGGGAGTCAGGAGAAATGAGTTCTATTCTGGCTCTGCTACCGTTTTGTTGTGCAACCGTGTGCAATTCTCTCAGTCTCTCTGTGCTTTAATTTGCCAATCTGCAGGAAATAGTATTTATCTACTTCTTTAAACTGCCTTGAGATTAACAGAGGAGTAAAGGTACTACATATATTGGATTATTTATTATCGCTGTTATTATTTCCTGGTAAACAATAGTTTATTCCAATCATTATTTTTTTTAATCATGTTTCATTTTGGGGAGGGGAAAAAATAAAAAAACAGAAATCTCCTGAAATCCTAAATAGTGTAGGAAACACTCTCAGAAAAGAGGAAGTATGCAAAATAAATTAAGAATGAAGCAGCTAAAGAAAATAATATGAGCTCCTATTCATTATCTGGTTCACTACACTTTTTAGTGCTTATTAAATTGTTAAGTGATTTAATTTGTGTTTCAAAAAATTAAGAGTACAGATTAAGAGAATAAAATGCTGAGCCTTCCATTTCAGAACTGGCTACAGAGCAAACGTTAAGCCTTGAAAATTAATTTGTCAGTCTCTCATGGGGTGTAATCAACATCAGATACCACAACACACACAATTTGGCTTACTTTTGCTTAATTGGCAGGATCTTCTCTAGGGAAACTCAGGAGTGAGCAATGGAGAGAATAAATCAGCATTAGCGATGATCCCTTCAGGTCAAGGCTAATTTTTCCAACAGAGAAGTGGTAGAGTATATGGATGTTAATGCATCAACTAGCCATATTGCACCTATACTTTGTGGAGGGTAATTTTCTCTCTGATAAAAAGCTATGGGCCATGCTTTCAGCAGGCTTTCTGAACAGTGCCCACACATCCATTTTACTGGCCCTGGGCAAAATATTTAACAACATTGATTTTTGAGTTTGGATTTGTTTTTAAATGTAAATGCCTATTTTTGTGGTATAAGTATATATAATTATATTTTGTGGTATGTATAAAGATGTACATAAAGAGCTTCCCTTTTATTAAAAATTTCCCAATCACAACTATAGTTGCCAAACAATTAGAGCAAAAATGTTGGTTGTTAGTCTGGTTGCAGAGGAAAAATGTTCGGAACAAGTTTTTGCATTCATTTTGCCCAGAGCAGTTTGCTTTCAGTCTGTGTACTTATACAACTCCCATTACTATAGAATCTGGGTGCCTCACAACATTTAATGAATTTATCCTCAAAGCAGTGAGCTAAGGAGGTAGCATTAGTTCCATTCAGGGGAACAATGGCAGAGGTAGTCAAGGGGGCAAATCAGAGGCGTTGACTTTCTAATATGCTGGGGGGGTGCTCAACCTCTGCTCTGCCCCAGGCCCCTTCCACTCCACCCCTTTCCCCAAGGCCCTACCCCCAACCTGCCTCTTCCTGCCCCCACTAGCCTCTGCCCTCTCCCCCAAGTGCTCCCCACCCTTGCTCCTTCCCCTTCCCTCCCTGCACCTCCTGCACACCACTGAACAGCTGATCACTGGCAGGTGGGAGTCACTGGGAGGTGCTGATCAATAGGTCCCGTCAGCGGGCGAGAGGCACTGGTGGGGGGGAGGGAGAGGAGCTGATCGGCAGGGCTGCTGGTGGGTGGTAAGCATCCACCATTTTTTTGGCATCATGGAAACTACATGCAGTGATGACAGTCAATAGGACAAGGTAATATCTGGGTACAAAATACATAGGAATGACAGAGTAGGTGGGAGTGGCACTAGATGTGACAAAGTCTGGTCAAATTTAGTAAAAATCTCAAATGAATCCACAGAATCTCTATGGATAGAATTTCCATGCTTGAATAATAAGAGTATAGTAGTAGGAAAATACCACCGACCACATGACCAAGATGGTGATGATGACTGTTAAATGCTCATGGAGATCAAAGAAGGTGCAAACCCCAGAAAAATGCAATAATAATGGGGGATTTCAACTATCCCCATATTAATGGGGTACATGTCACCTTAGGATGGGACATAGAGATAAAGTTTCTAGATACCATTAATGATTCCTTTTGTAGCAGTTAGTTCTGGAACCCACAAAGGGAGAGACAATTTTTGATTTAGTCCTAAATGGAGGATAGGATTGGGTCCAAGAAGTAAATATAGCTGAACTGCTTGGTAATAACGACCATGTCATCAATAAATTTCACATCCTTGTAGTGGGAAAATACCAAAGAAGCCTCCACCACAGTAACATTTAACTTCAGAAAGGGGAACTACACAAAAAAGAGGAAACTAGTTACACAGAAATTAAAAGGAACGTTCACAAAAGTGAAATGCCTGCAAGCACCATGGAAACTTTTTAAAAACCATAATAGAGGCTCAACTTAAAATATATATCTTAAAATAAAAAATAGTAAGAGGATCAAGCAAATGCCACCAGGGCTAAATAACAGGGTAAAAGAGGCAGTTACAGGCAAATAGGCATCCTTTAAAAATTGGAAGTCAAATCATACTGAGGAAAATAGAAAGGAGCATAAACTCTGGCAAACAATCAGTGAGGACTGGATAACCGAGATGCTAAAGGAGCACTCAAGGAAGACAAGGCCATTGTGGAGAAGCCAAATTAATTCTTTGCATTGATCATCACTGCTGAAGCTCTGAGGGAGATTCCCATACGTGAGTCATTCTTTTTAGGTGACAAATCTGGGGAATTGTCCACACTGAGCTATCAGTAGAGGTGGTTTTGGAACAGATTGATAAATTAAACAGTAATAAGGCACAATGACCAGATGGTATTCACTCAGGAGTTTTGAAGGAACTCAAATATGAAATTGCAGAACTACTAACTGAGGTACGTATCATATCACTTAAATCAGCTTCTGTACCAGATGACTGGAGGAGAGCTAACGTGACGCCAATTTTTTAAAAAGGCTCCAGAGGCAATTCTGGAAATTACAGGCAAACTGGTTAAAACTGTGGTAAAGAACAGAATTATCAGACACATAGATGAACACGATTTGTTGGAAAAGAGTCAACAAAGCTTTTGAAAAGGGAAATTGTGCCTCACCAATCTGTTAGAATTCTTTGAGGGGGTCAACAAACGTGTGGACAAGAGTGATTCATAGATTCATAGACTCTAAAACGGGAAGGGACCTCAAGAGGTCATCGAGTCCAGTTCCCTGTCCTCATGGTAGGACCAAATACTGTCTAGACCATCCCTGATAGACATTTATCTAACCTACTCTTAAATATCTCCAGAGATTCCACAACCTCCCTAGACAGTTTATTCCAATGTTTAATCACCTTTACAGTTAGGAACTTTTTCCAACCTAAACCTCCCTTGCTGCAGTTTAAGCCCATTGCTTCTTGTTCTATCCTTAGAGGCTAAGATTAACAAGTTTTCTCCCACCTCCTTATGACACCCTTGTAGATACCTGAAAACTGCTATCAT